TTTGCATGCTTGTGGTAAACAAGAGAGGGGCAGATGATCACAGGAAAGCTTGGCTAATTTCAACCATGATAAATTATTATTTATAATTGCATCAGACAACTAAATGTTTGTGTTATAAAGGATATAAGACTCAGCCATTTCCTCTTTTTAGGGGGTAGGCATATCTGAATATATCAGGAGTTATTACATAACAAAGTACAAACAGTTTCTCACTCACCCAAGAGGAGCTGGGAAGCCAATACAATATAGTAAGCACTACTTTCCCTTAATAAAAGTATTTGGGTTTTCTCCAATAGATACATAGCAAACATTCCAAGGATGCAAGCTTTGCAAGAAAAAAAAATCATTTGAGATGGCTTTACTAAGGTTTCTTTATATACATGCTTATACAAAAATCATAAATGAAAATGGGTATACCATACATAAAACTTTTTTGGCAGAGGTAGGACACAGACAATAATGCTTCTAAAGAAAAGGGAGAATATAAATCTAACAAATAAACAATACTGGCCACTAGCAAAAATATGGGATTTTCAGGGAAATGTTTCGAAATCAAAGCATAACTGCATGAACTAGATTTTCCTTAATAGTGCCTGAGTCCTGAGACAGTGACTTGTTCCACACTGCACACTAAGCCATGGTTTGCTTAACCATTTGAAATTCAATACCTGGCTGATACATACATAAAATAGATTGAACGACCATTTGGTAGCCAGGGTTGCATTTAACAGTTTTGGGAAGAATTAAATCCACAGTGAGTAGGATGATGAAACAAAGAGGGCATATAATAGGTGGAGCCAGATTCTCCCCCACCCCCGAGGTTTTCAGAGGGTTTTTAAAATTTAATTTAGGGCTACTATACTTTAGGGCTATTGTACTATACTGTACAATATTCATACATTTTGCTTTCTCTGCTCCTTCTTAATATCTACATGGAGCCACTGGGTGAGATCATCCATCACCACAGGATAAGGTATCATCAGTATGATGCTGATGATACTCAATTGTACATCTCTGTCCTGGGTGAAATAAATGATGCTGTGGAAGTTCTTTTGCGGTGCCTGGAGGCTGTGGAGGTCTGGATGGGGAACAACAGGCTTCAAATGAACCTGGTAAGACAGAGTGGCTGTGGGTGCGGGGCTCTCCTGCATCTGGGGGCCTACCTTCTTTGGTCCTGGGTGGGGTGGCACTGACCCAGACTGACCCAGTGCGCAATCTGGGGGTCTTCTTGGACTCATGACTCCTGCTGGAGCAGGTGGCAATTGTGGCTAGGAGGACCTTTGCTCAACTTCGTCTTGTGCGCCAGTTGATGTGATGGAATGGTGTTATGAAGGCCATGCTCAGGGAGATAAGCATTTCCTTAGCCCTCAA